CTGCGCTGGCACTGCCCCCCTCCTAGATCCGGCCCTGCACAGCCCCCTCACCTGGATCTGACCCCCGGCACCACCCCACGCCTAGGTCCGGCCGGCAGGTCACCCCCGCGCCTGGTTCAGGCCGCCGCGCTGCACCTGCGCCTGGTTCCGGCCGCCACGCTGCATCCCCTGACCACCTCCGCCCCGCCCCCAACCTTCTCTGCGGCGTGACATTTCCTCTGCTCTGGCACGAGCTTCCCTCTAGTCCGTCACGGCCTTCCCTCAACTCCGGTGTGGCCTGCCCTCTACTCCAGCGTGCCCTCCTGCTCCTCCTCCACAACCCCATCCTCACCCTCCCTGCCCCGAACAACTTCCTCCTGCCTATTTAGTAGTGTTGTTACAATAACCAGCAGCCACTAGTCAGATCGACCCTCCAATAACCAACATATGCCTTGGCGCGTTCCTCGGCATGCTCTTTGGGTCCGTGGAGATTGGCCTCGGAGTCGCGGTAACGATCGATCATCATTGCCTTGCTCTGAATAATTGGCTGAATCATACATGCATTATAGTTCCTGCAGTTCTCTGACTTTTTTTCATACATACATTATAATTGCAGCTAGCCATATCCTTTGCAAAGATCATCATCCAGTCACTCTGGGCTCAGGTGGAGGGTCTGGGTTGGCTACAAGGAACAAACATATTCTGCAGCGTCAGGCAGTACCCCGTGGCATGCCGGACACAGGCCGTGCAAGTCATACGCATCGATACATCCTTTCTCTACTTCATCAATGCGACTTTCATCAAAGAGAGGTACCAACCAATGTGATCAAATAAAGTAAACTGCTCATTGTGTAAAGTTCGATGTGAGTGCTCATATAGCTAGGTGTGTTGATTCAGGATCATGGAGTGGGTAAGGGCAGAAGTGGATACATCCAATGAGAAGGTCAGGGAAAGGGTGCACTCAGTTTTCCTTGACATGTCAAGTAAGTTCCTCACAGAGAAGCTTACAATTGCTAGAATGATATTGAAAATTCCAAAACGTATCTGATTCATTCATGCTTCTGGTCTGCAGATGTGGTGAACATTGACACTTCAGAACTGGTGGGATTGGAAGAAATTCACAAGGAGCTGGCGTCCCTTGGCATACAGATGAAGTGATTTACTGATGAGCATCATATTGTAGCTTTGTCAAAAAATTATTACTGGTCAAAATATCTCACTCTTGTGTAAAAATATTATCTGCAGATGGCTATTGCCAGTCCAGGATGGCAGGCAATTCAGAAGATGAAGTTGGCACATGTTGTTGACAGGATAGGAGAAGATTGGATTTTCCTACAGTAGGTGAAGCAGTGGAAGGATGCCTAATTGCACACAAGGGCAGTGCTATGGAGTGTTGAGTGTATGTTAGTAGAAATAACACCATTTGTTGTCGATTTGTATCTAGTGAGCATGGTTTACATAGCTCCGCAAATGCTGACAAATAGTAACAGACGCAACAATGACAAAACATGTACGTGTTCTGTAGAAATAAAGCACATTAACTAGAGTGGTATACGGTCGTGTTTTTGTGACTATACTCCCTTAAAATCTATATCTATTTATTTGTTCCTACTCACTCCATCTTCCTCCTCTCTTCTCCCCACTTCCTCCTCCCATCTTGTCTGATGGTCAATTTTTTTCTTCAGAAAAATTTATCCTTTCGCTCTCGGTGAACTTCAAAGCTTGGTGATTTCTTTGGGATTTGCTATACTATAATTTGACCAAAGGTTTGCATATATTCAGATGATAGGTTGCACACACAAAAAGGAAATATTTGGGTCTAGACATTTGACACTAGTTTTACCCTCACTTGTGTTTCTTATTTTGTTTATGTGAGAAAAAAAAATGTATTTTAGAAGTTCATTTATTATTTCCCCAAAAGTTCATATATTACTACCTGTATGTATTTTGGCATATCACAACACCAGCAATAGAATTTGTGAAGAAAAAACCGGGTAGAAGTTCATGTATAAAAATTAATGAACCTCCCAATGCCGATGGGATGTGACTCACACCCACAACTCCGTCGGCACTGCTTCTAAGCGCCCCCACCGGCGTAATGCGTGTACTAGTGCATAGTGTTGTGCATACTATGAATAGGCGTAATGCGTGTACTAGTGCATAGTGTTGTGCATACTATGAATAGGTGTACTGTCTAGGTGTATTCTTGTGTGTAATTTTCTTTTCTCTTCAAAAGCATGTGAAGTTCATGTTTCAAGAAAATTCAATGTTCAGAGGGACAACATATAGAAGAATTTCATCCAAAAAAAAGAACTGCCTAGGCCATTTCACCGACAACCAAAAAATGCATAAAAAGTGTCACACGAAAAATAAAAAAGTTCACAAAAATATACAATATATTAGGTTCACATTTCAGAAATTCCGAAGTTCACGCGTAGTACATACAGAAGAAAAATCACCAAATGAAAAATATAGACCGCCGAGGCTATTTCATTGAAAAGCAAAAAATGCATAAAAATGTCATGACAAAATTCTATAAGAAGTTCAAATTTAAAACCGAAAACAGGTCAACGTTAAAATAAATGAAGTTTCTAATATCTAAAAGACAAATTTGGAAGTTCAAAAAATTTGACCAAGAAGGTCAAAAAAGTAGTTCAAAAACCTTTATAACGAATTTTTCCCATTTGTAAAAAAATCAGAGAAGTTCAAATTAAAAAGAGGAGCATTTTAAAATATTATACAAAATTGATTTCCCCCATTCTATAATAATTTGAAGTTCAAATTAAAATAACGGCGCGGTATCATTGTTTATATAAAAAAGCATTTTCCATGTTACTAACCAATAAAACTAAGAGTTCAAATTTAAAAATGGTGAAGTTCGATGTCTATAAAAAATTGGATATTTCACATTATTAAAAAATAAAACCAAGAAGTTCAAAATTTTAAAACAAAGAAGTTCAAAAAACTCAATTTTCCTTGTTACTAAAGAATAAAACTAAGAAGTTCAAATTAAAATAGTAGAGAAGTTCAAAGTTTATAAAAAACTCAGATTCTCGTTCTAAAGAATGACTAATAAGTTCAAATTAAAATAAGGGAACAACAAAAAAGTTATAAAAATGATTTTCCCTGTTTTTAAAAAATTAGGAAGTTCAATTTTAAATAGAGTAATTCAATGTATATTTATAAAACATAGTTTTTCTCATTACTAAAAAATAAAACCAAGAAGTTCAATTTAAAAAAAAGGAGAAGTTTGATGTTTAATTAAGAAATAAAAAGTATGGAGTAAAATAAAACCAGGAAGTCCATATTAAAAAGATGGAGAAGTTCGACGATTATAGAAAACTCAGGTTTTCCTCGTCATTAAAGAATGGAAACAAGAAGTTCAAAAATAAAAACAAGAAGTCCAACTTTTAAAAAAATAACACTTCAAAATTTCATAAAAAGGGATTAAGAAATAAAACCAGGAAGTCCATATTAAAAAGATCGAGAAGTTCGATGATTATAGAAAACTCAGATTTTCCTCGCTATTAAAGAATGAAAGCAAGAAGTTCAAAAATAAAATAATAAGAAGTTCAACAATTAAAAATAGAACACTTCAAAATACATAAAAAAGGATTAAGAAAAATCAAATTAAAAATTCATAAAAAACTTAAATATTTTCACGTAACCGAGAGTGGTCCAGGTTGATAGCTGCCAGAAGTTCATGTACTACACGGTGTGCATTTTTTATTGAAAAAAAGAATAAAAAAATCGAAGTCTAAAAGTTTTGTTGTTATAAGTTCAAGCACTTTGTGGGAGAAAGTTAAAAAAATTTGTGAGAGAGATTTGTACAAAAGGAATATCATTTGTGTAACACTAACGATGGATGAGAAAATTACAAACGAAAATACGTCACAGAAGTTCAACTGAAAACAGCAGGAAGTTCAATTACTACAGTGGATGAATTTCAGATGAAAAACTTTTAAAAATGTCGCGAATATGAAAAAATGATCAACACGGGAAAGTTAAGTGCTTACAGCAGCTTTCCAGCGGTATATCAGTTGCTCAATTCCGGTGAGTGGATGGAGAGTTACGAGAAGTGGATGGAGACCTACGATCAAAAAAATCACGTGAAAAACAGAGTGAAGTTCAGGTACACGCACCGAGAAGTTCAGGTTCTTCACGTGGTGCATTTTTGAAGAATCTGTTTCGTGATATAGGAAGAACGCATGATCCCGCCGTTTTCGAAATTACTTGAAAACGACTAGGAATCAGAGAAAACCATCAACATGAAAAAGTTTCGCATTTTCCGTAGCTTTTCAGCGGTATATTATTTGCCCCATTCTGATAAAGTTTGTAGAAATTATGGCCAAAATATGTTTTTCGCCATTTTTGAAACTGACTTAAAACCGTAAAGAATTGGGAGAAACAATACATACCAAAAAGTTTCGCATTTGTTCAAGCTTTCCAATGCCATATCATTTGCTGCATTCGGACGACCAATTAAAAAATTAGCTCGAAAATACGAACTCGGTAGGACTTGGATCATTTTCTAAATTACTCTTAAACCATTCAAAATTAGAAAAAAACTTTCAAGATGAAAAAGTAGCGCATTTTCATAAGCTTTCCAACGTCGTATCATATGCCTCCACTGGATTAGCCGTTTAGAAATGACATCGAAAAAACGAACTCAGCTATTTGGTTTACAAAATTTTACGTTTTGTCAAATTACTCTTTAACCATAGGAAATTAGAGAAAACTTTCAACATGTGGAAGGAGCGGTTTTGCATTAGCTTTCCAAGGTCATATTATATGCCTGAATCCTATAAATGGTTTAGAAATGCGATCAAAAATACGATTCACGTTTTTTGTGCGAAGAAAAAACGGTTTTCAAAACTGCTCTTAAACCGCTTATATTTTGCCAAAAATTTAAGTTGGGTCATGATATTGATGTCCATAGCTTTCCAACGGTATATGGCAAGCCCCATTTGGGCAATGTTGGCGGAAGTTCAACCTAGTTCACAAGGAAGTTCAACGTACTACTAGCGGGGCAGGTCAGGTTGTGATCAGAATATTATTCTGATCCCGTGATCAGAATATATATATATACTGCGATTTTTTCAATCATAGTTCAGACATGCGCTCTAACACATGCACACCCAGGGAAAGGAACCGTTAACGGAACTATTCTCTCTGGAAGATGTTTCTTACATAATGTAATATAACATAACTAGCCGGATACAACTTGTTTGTTCAAGCAACTATGACCCCTACGCCTAGTTTCCATGCATCCCCCGGTCTATTTGGCCACACAGGTATTCGGAAACACTCCGCGCCTTCGGGTCCAGAGGGAAAAGCGAAAAGGTCTGCCATGACAATCGTTTTACAATTCAGCTAGACAGAAAAATACACAGTCATTTCGACTCAAAAATTTCCTCCTCTATACCCTCCAGCAGGTTATCTAACTTACAATCCAGCTAGAAATATTTGGCAACTACTGCTACTTGGTCATACACCAAATTAACGGGAACTTCCTTCTCGTCTAACCCTAAGGTCTGACCTGAGCCATATGATTCGGGTCAAGCTTGGTGTACCTTGTCTTCACCATGGCCCGGGCTTCTCGAGCCCCTTCCCGGTAGGCTGATATTTTCCACAATCGAAAGCGTCGCCGCGCCCCCTTGAATAGCTCTAGGAGCTCCTCCATCTTTCCTGGAGGGGAGGAAGCTGGCCTCAAAGCTTTGGCAATGCTTCGCATCACCTGCCGAGCTTGCTCATGAATACGCGGCAGCTCTTGCAGTAGATCGCTTGAGAATTCAGACATCTCATCTCCGGGACGATCGGTCAGCATACCTACAGATATAACTCTATCAGTTCCTGGTATCTCTGAACTATTATAAGGTAAATTCGGCCACATACTGAACATGTCGCCGCGCAGACTTTTATTCTCATTCATGGAGTCGGCCAGTTGGGCCCGTACATCTTTCAGATCCTCGCCCAATCGGGTATTCAAATCTTGGAGCTTGTTCATCTCCAGTACGACTTTTGTGAGCACACGCTCGCTCACGGCTAGCAGCTTCTTGGCTTCTCATTCTCCGTCTTGGGCAGGTTTAAGTTGTTCTTGCAGTTGACCTAGTGATCCTGATAAGAGGTGAGCAACCGTGTTTAACATTATTGGTATACCATTCTGTTTTCTCGATGAAGGGGAACATTGCCCGGAGACGCCTTCTTGGATTTCTCCAGTTCGGCACGGGCAGCAGTTAGCTGCGTCTGGCACTTTTCTAGCTCTTAGGCTAACATGTCGTTCTTCTC